ATCTTAAAAAACCAAAACACTGGCTTCTCTGTAGACAGGAACACCAGAGCCTGCAAGCTTCTCAGCTTTTGCCTCAAAGGGCAATATGGTACTTTGACTGTCCCCATAGCCACCAGTTTCACTATGTGGACCTAAGTCACCAAGGCGCCACTCATCCAAGATAGCCGTTGTTCTATCTGATTTTATGGCATTTTGCTTGCATATACATTACTGCACTACACGTGTGCTGTGACCTTGAAAACCAGGGTTTCTCTAGGTAAGTCTTAGCTGTCCTGGAGCTCACTCTGGAGACCAGGCTGGCCTCGAACTCACAGAGATCTGCCTGCCTCTGCCTCCCGAGTGCCGGGAGCAAAGGTGTGCACCCTAAGCAATCTCAGCTCTACCTTGGCTCTGGCATCCTTTGTGTCCCTCACCCTCCCTCTTTGCAGATCTTCTCAGATGCCACCCACTGAGGCTCTGATAACACCCGCTCCCCCCAGAGCCCCACTGCCAGTGGAAGTTGGGCAGTTGCCCTCCCAATTGGAGGGGGCCTCTTTCAGGCCGGGGATCTGCTGCACCTATCCCTTGCTTTAACGCTCAGAGTCTGGATACACAGGCACACGGAAGCGTACATTGATCGTGGACACAGCAGGGTCTCTGCTGCCCTCCTGAAGGCACAGGGTTACGTCCTCACGCTTGATGCCCTTGGGTTGCCTAGTGTAATAGCAGGGCTGGCTCACAAGTGCCGTGATCCAACATTCTGCTCAGCCTCGCTCGGTGGCCCCAGCTAGCAGCGGATGAGCCCCACTGACTGGAGATCTGTGGGATCCCAGCATGGACCCTACAGCAGTGGTAACTAGGATTCCTGTCCCACGGAAGCTATTCATGGTCACAGTTCACATGTCACTGGGGCTGGATGTGAGGAGGCAGGATCCTGGCTCAAATGACAGCTATTTACCATGTGTCTTCCTTTCTCCCTTGAGACACTGTCTCATCGTGTCACCCTGGCTGGAAGTCAGAGACCCAACACGTCTACCTCCCACACGCTGGGAGGGAAGGTGTGCACTACCAGGCCCCATTTCAATGCTTTCTCAACACTCAGCTAAATGTCAGCTCACTTTATGCCTCTGCTCACAGATGAAGGTTCTAAGGCTCTGAGAGGGACAAGGCTGGCCCGAGACCCCAGCCATCAACCTTCATTGATCTGAAACCCGCAGTGACTGACACCACCAGGACTCATGGTGGGGACCTACTCCAGGGACCCCTAGCACCACTAAGGAGGGCCTTTGAGGATAGGCAGGGACCTGCTTTGTGGCCCAGGGCCATCGGGGCTGGGCTAGGAATGGGAGGCACCTGTAGTCAAAGCCCCCATCTTTGCCATCCAGAAACCGTTGGTGCATGCGGCTGGTGAACTCCTCCCGCAGGATCAGCCTCTCCTCCGAGTCGGGCATCCAGGACTCCGAGTCTTTGTCTGACCTCTGGTCTGTGGAGATACCAGGATGGTGGCCTGAAGGCATCTGACAAGCTATGCCCAGCCCCCTGCTATCAAGATGGCCCAATGCCTGCCCTACTGGGGTGCACACTGGATAAAATGGGGATTCCGGGTGTACCACAGTGGTCAGGAGGAGATAGCAGGGTGCAGGGTGAGGGCAGACATGTCTACTGTCCCAGGGGAGGGCCCAGCCAGGTGGCACACGTGAGGAACGGGCCGGGGCGGGGTGTCCTGCTGCTGGCCCTCACCTTCCTCGTCACTGTCCTCTTCCTCCTCCAAGCAGGCCTCTTCCTCTTCTTGCTGCCGGAGCAGCTTTTGCTGCAGCTCCCGTTCCTGGTAGGACTGGAAGAGCAGGTCGGAGAGTGGGTAGGCAGGCGAGCTGGGGGAGCCGGGCCTGGGGGCCTGGGGAGCAGGTGTCTGGGCACTGAGCTCTTCCTGTGTGAGGTACTGCCCTATGTACTGCTCGTACAGCAGCGGGGCCCGGAACCGCATCTGCTCATCGCTGAAGTACTCACCTCCTGTGTGGAAAAGAGGCAAGGTGGGTAGGTGTGAGCACATGATTCCAGGCCTGCACAAAGGGGGGTGCCCTGCTGCTAAGATGTATACATCTGGGCACACGCTAAAGCCACCTGCACATGCCCGAGGGACAGGGAGTATACAGCCCGGGCTG